ATGAGATATTTAGCTAACAGGCAGACAGGTTTTATGGTTAATGAGATATTTAGCTAACAGGCAGACAGGTTTGATCGCTCTTTGTTTGTCACCTACCTAGAATCGCTGACTCGGGCTGTTTTCACCCGGCAGGTTGTCCTGGCGATGCCGTATGACACGCCCATCCCTGGCTACATGAACAACACGGTGAACACCATGAGGCTGTGGTCGGCCCGCGCCCCGAATGACTTCAACCTAAAGGACTGTGGGTGCTGCTCACTACAGATACACTTTATAGAATGACCTTTTAATGAGCGTTTTCTTATCTGTGTATTTGTAGTTAATACTGGAGATTACATACAGGCCGTTCTGGACAGAAACCTGGCGGAGAACATCTCCCGTGTTCTCTACCCGAATGACAATGTGAGCTCAGCCTGTCAGAGACATGTTTCCTCCAGTTGACCCTCTGCTCACTGAAYGCTTCTGTGTTGCAGTTCTTCGAAGGAAAAGAGCTTCGTTTGAAGCAGGAGTATTTTGTCGTAGCAGCAACACTCCAAGACATCATTCGCCGCTTTAAGACCACGAAGAAGGGCAGCCCCGGACGCATCTCCTTCGAGGGATTCCCAGACAAAGTGAGCGTCACGACTAGCGATGTGGCTCTGATGGTGTCAGTTGAAACGTTACCACACTTCCATTCTCACAGATTACGTCAGGATTTCTTCTCCTTTTTGTTTAGTCTTTTCTGCACAAACTTGTGTAGCAGAGGCTAAAGTAGCTGTGGAGTCAGCCAGGAGGAATTTAGTCAACAGCTCAAGGCTGTTGTCGGGGAGATCCAGATTCTGTAATCAGTTGTTATGGGAACAGAAAGAGACAGGCAGACGATAACAATTTTCCATCTGCTTCAATGTCTGCTGGTGCATCTCAAGGTGGCGAGTCCAGTCAGGCAAATGGTGTGGACAAATTCCGCCGAGCTGATCTATCAGCTTCWTTAAGATCAATTCCATCTGGCCAGCAAAGTCCAGGAACTACAGCCGGCCCACGACCCTTAATAGAACCGCTTACAGACCGAGTCCAGCTCGCTCAAGATCAATGTCTGAGTGCTGATAGAATACGGCCATCCATCAAATTGGTCAGTCAGTCAGGAGATGAAAAGCCACCGAYGCTGTTTTGTAGAACACCAGGAGACCACCAAGCCAATCTGTAGAATCCAGTGATCAGAATCCAGACATATATMAAGAACAGAGCAGAAYACCTTTGACWTGTCCTCCCATGGAAGAAGAAAGAACTTTGTTCCAAAAGTTTTACTGAGAGACCAGCTAACCAAATCCATGAAAATAAAAATATCCATCATTTCTAGTTTCAGATGAAAAATGTAGAGAAGGCTCCTAGCAGCGAAGCAGAGAAAGATAAGGAAGGGCAGGAGAGAAGGAAAGTATTACTTCTGCTTTGTTGTCTCGTCGTAGCCAAAACTGTCTAATGTTGGCTCCAACATGATGCTTTGAGCTGGAGGTAAGACAGGAAGTGAGTCACTGCACAGCCTCATGTTTTCCAGGTCGCCATCCAACTGAATGACACCCATCCTGCCATGGCCATCCCTGAGCTGATGAGGATCTTTGTGGACATTGAGAAACTTGACTGGGATACAGTGAGTCKCTTCAGTTTTCTTCAATTTAATCGTCTCAATTAGCAGCACTCTGCATTCACACTTCATTTTCATAGAAAATGATTATGACCCCCGCACAAGAAGCGTAAGCGGGAGTCATATTGTTTTCGTACTGTTAAGTTATTTTTTCTCTGAGGATTTTTGGTCAACCGTACCACAAAAACAGCTGCATCGATCAACATGGAATTTGACAGGACTGTAGATGAGTCTGACCTACACTGCACCAGCCAACGGTTTTACGATAGACCCCATATTTGAGGAGGGGGCTCCTTTCAAAGAGGGGCGTCTGGAAAAAATGCTTATAACTCAGAAACTGTTCAACATAGAAGCTTCAGATTTCTTTTGTTGTTTAGCTC